AAACGGATGTCTCCAGATATTGGGAGTTATGATTCTACCCTCTGGTGATTATTTTTTAAATCAATAATAGATTCATTTTTTTACGAACTCATTCATCGATGACTGTATGTAACGCTGCAGTTCTTCTTTGAATGCAGCACACACTAGACCGCAGTAGTGCAGTGTATATAACTACAATAAAGTACAGTAATGATTTACAGCCAATCGTGGATCCATTGCTGGATGAAGGCCTCACTCCGTTTCAACTGTGTGAATTGTTTGACCACACTGCACCAAGCTGGCCTGTGTGGGTTGGTGAGGAAGGAGCCAGAACCAATTCAGATACTGTATCTGTCACTGATGTTAAACCGTGGCCAGGAATAGAACTCAAGTCACCGGGTTCACCCAATATAGAATGCATCATCATCATCAGCAGCAGCCACGACCTATCCATTGCTGGATGATGTCAAGCTATCACCATCTCTCACGGTCTCACGATGCAACATCCATCTGGCTCCTGTGCGTTCGCTGATTTAATTGCTCCAAGTCTGCGGTAGGGTAACCTGGAGCGTGCTCTCTCCTTTGGCTGGCAAACCACCCTTACGTCTCAATTCACCCAGTAATGCCACACAAAATCTAAGCCCGCACCTTGTATCACAACCTTAACGCTTATTGACTGATGTATTTTCTATGCTGTGCTATAACCAGTAAAATTCCACGTTTGTCCTCTCAAGAGCAGTGATAATACCACGGATAAGGGAATAATTTCTAACGCATGGTGATATGGGGGACCAATGTTGTGAATCCTACTATCCGTATCCGTGGGACTATTCTTTGTTTTACTCCACTTATCAGGAAAGCGTGTCTAATGGTGAATTAAATTAATTTGCTGTTGAACTCCTCGTCTGAAAAAAATTGCAGATAAATAGTATGCCATTTCATAAATAACTACTTTTTGGGGGTAAAACGCTGATAATTGTAAGAATAGGGCCGCCGAGTTTCCGGTCACGGATAAGAGTGTTGGTTAAAAACTTGGTGTAAATTGTTTGAATTAATGGGTAAAGGCTGCAGCTAAAAGATGGAAAGACTCTTGTGTGCCAGGGTATGGTGAAGGTATCTGCTTGGAACACATTCCTGCGGAGGGAGCTGGTAGGAACGTTGGGTTGCTCGGTCAATGGCCAGGGTCAAGGGCGGCGTGGTGTATTCCACAAATATGCCCGACTGTGAGGGCGGGCACAAGCCGGCGTGAGTAGGTTAAACGTTGAGTTTTATAAGGGCACCACGGGGTGACCAACCCCTCCCCACCCAGCCCCATCCTCCCCACCCAGCCCCATCCTCCCCACCCAGCCCCTCCCCACCCAGCCCCTCCCCACCCAGCCCCATCCTCTCCACCCAGCCCCTCCCCACCCAGCCCCACCCCTCCCACCCCCCACCCAGCCCCATCCTCCCCACTCAGCCCCTCCTCACCCTCCCCTCCCCACCCAGCCCCTCCTCACCCTCCCCACCCAGCCCCATCCTCCCCACCCAGCCCCTCCCAACCCAGCCCCTCCCCACCCAGCCCCTCCCCACCCTCCCCACCCAGCCCCATCCTCCCCACCCAGCCCCTCCCCACCCAGCCCCACCCCTCCCACCCCCCACCCAGCCCCATCCTCCCCACTCAGCCCCTCCTCACCCTCCCCTCCCCACCCAGCCCCTCTTCACCCTCCCCACCCAGCCCCATCCTCCCCACCCAGCCCCTCCCCACCCAGCCCCTCCCCACCCAGCCCCACCCAGCCCCTCTCTGCACGACGGACGGACACAATAATCCCCTTATGGGCTGGTGTAACCAGGAGGTTCCTACCAGTATAAACCATTGGTCGTAACGTAAGCAGGCTGAACGGCCAATGTGGCAGCATGAGTCATGTTCAAAGCAGTGAGCCATGACTTCAGTGAGTAGCAATGTGTGGGTGTAATGATTAATAAAAGGGCTTATAGTCAGCGCTGTCACAGGTGGTGTCATGTTTAATATAAATAATAGGGTTACATTCAATGTGCACTCTGGACGCGTGATAGCAAGTCATGAAGGCATTAGACCCTCGTACAAAAAAAAACACCCCAATGTTTACTAAAATAAATGCGGTAGTGCATCATTAAAACAAAAATTGTGAAACAAAGCAGTGATATGAAATCACTTAAATGGGTTAAGTGTGGAATTTGTGTTACACGGATAAACCCGATGAATGGTAATTTCACAATCATTGCCATGATACGACCATTATGAAGGCACCTTCACTTTTAAGACGCCTTTAAGAAGCTACCTCTAAAGTAATTACTTTTTGCCGATTGAACCATTTGTAACAGGCAGGATGGCTCATATTTTCTTTAATGTGTGATACTGTATTGTGCTTATTATTCAGTGCCCACTGACACCAGTAGTCGCGAGGCCTGTGACTGACCAATTGACATTTGGACACCTCTCTTAATTGCCTCATGCTGTTTATGGCCAACGTAGCTGCTGCTGATGCTGTTAGCGATGGTTTGATGTAATTGGAGCTCGTAATAGTGGAAGGTGACAGTAAGTACAGTACGGTAGACTGTGTAGGACTGCAGTGTGATTGTATCACTCCCACTGTGCTGTACACTGATGCCCCCTGCTGTACCTTGTTGAAACACAAAATTTGAATGCCATTGTACAGGGTGGTCCAGATGTCTTGCACCCCCCATATAATTATATATAACTTAATATCTTTAAAGTATGGTTTATATTAAACAGAAATGAATATTCAAAGGGAAACGCACACATTTGGGGTCAATTAATTGTGGGCCACAAGACATCTGGACTACCTTGTAGTGTACGTTCCAGGAATGATTGTATCCTTCATTTAAATTCGTGGATGGATGCGTTAACATTACTGTGCTATGAATAACAGAATAATCATTGCATGCCCTTTGTTTTGTAAGCGTTTGGGACTTGTGATGTAACGATTGTAAGTGCTGTAACCTCCACTTTGCGTGCTGCTCACTTTTTGTTCCATTTTCTTGGTCACATCCGTGGTCATAATTCATCGGCATGCGGATGATATATGTTACCGATTAAAAACTTTCTGCAGTCGCATTAGTGCGGTGCTTTTAATGATCGAATTCAGTTTTTCCAAAAATGCTCCGTTATCATACTCTCTTTGATTGATGCAGGGATGTCACAGTCCATACATCACGGTTTCATGTATGTCACAATGCACAGCGCAACATGTGGTTCGGCCCTTAAATAGTAAAATCAGGGGTTGTACAAAAGTCAATACAAAAAATAAACACGAGTAATGCTCTCCTATGTTTTTGTCTCTAGCTTATTATGCTCTAGATGTCACCATCCAAGTATAAGATAAGAGTCTGGGGTGCAAATTGATTAATTGGCACTGGTGTTGATATTGTACCAACATGTGTTGACTTGTTTCTACAGTACAAATTTAAGGGGGCTGGGTTTAATATAATCTGTTATATTTTCAGTCACAATTATCTTACTTATTGAACTACATGTTTGATATTGGCTGTCTTATGTTTGCCTCGAATTAACGTTGTCCTCTGGCAATATTGTCGTTTCATTTGCATCCAATCAACTTTGTGTTAAATTTTGCAAGGGCAAATACGTCCGACATTTTTGTGGTTAATCCGTGAGAACTCAAATTAATATCTAATATCATGGGACCTCTTTTGTCTGTACCAAAATATGAGAATAGGTTTTCCCCTTTTTTCTGGCAACAAAACAGGTGTTAAGTTGTTAAAACACCAAACTGAAACCTTTTACACGGAATCATGTCTGCATTAACCACAATGCTTGCGGTCAGAATGCAAAAAAAAACATACTCTGATAATATATGCATTGTCCTTGAAACGGATTGGTCCACACCAGAGACAGCTTTCATTTGAGCTTAGTCTCAAGCGGTGTTAGACCAGAGGACGCCAAAAGGCGTTTCAAAGACAATGCACTATCAGAGTAATGAGAGCTCGGGGTGAGCAGCTACATCATGGGACCTCCTTTGCCAGTACTAAAATATGAGAATAGGGTTGCCCCTTTTTTTCTGGCAACAAAACAGGTGTTAAGATGTTAAAACACCAAACTGAAACCTTCTACAAGTAATCGTGTGGACCAATCAGTTCAAAAGACAATGCATATATTATCAGAGTATGTTTTTTGTTTGCATTCTGACCACAAGTATTGTGGTTAATGCAGACATGATTCCTTGTAAAAGGTTTCAGTTTGGTGTTTTGACATCTTAACACCTGTTTTGTTGCCAGAAAAAAGGGGAAAACCTATTCTCAATTATAATATTTACGTGTTTGCTTCCTCCGTGCTAATTTAATAGATTTAGGTGTTCAATATCTGTGTGGTGGTTGTATAAGCTGCATCGGATGCTCTCATTATGTTCTCATATACCAAATGTATTCCTCATCCTTATATATTCCCTTTTTTGGAGTGTGCTTTGCCCTCAATTGAACGTTGTTTCATTCCTTTGTAAGGTTGGCCTATTTATACATCTTCATTGCTGTTTTTTTGGGGGGCATTTCTTGGAAGTATTTTTAGCTGGTAGTGGCTCGAGAGCTTTCATGTTTTCTCGGGAAATTTGTATCTGACGGTACCTTTCAAATTAAAAATGCTGTTAAATTTCCAGAGCGACGAAGAATTCCCACTCCTCTTTTTCCCCTCCCAAAATACTACAAGTACTGTAATGTGCAACTTAACAAAGTTAGAAGATAATATAACTTTAGAGGGGAAAAATTAAAACATCCCATTGGCTATAATGACGAAGAATTTGCTGAGCTACCAAAGTAGGAACATTGTCCCCATGAACATAAATTAAATTAATCTCGACAAGAATGATATTTCAATGTGCGAAAATTAATCTTCAGTTAATCACCGCAAACATCGCACACTCGTCTCTTGATTAATACATAGATGTGTAGCTCATGGAATTTTAATTTGAAATGTCCATTATAAGGATAACCTCGCAGCATTTCATTTATTACCACACGAAAGGAACATGAAAAAACTAATTAAAGTACATTTATTATGGTAACATTTCCCAATAAAAACAGTATTGCATTACCAGATCTATTTTTTCAATTAAAAATAATTAAAATATATGCATAATGCAAACAGTACCTAATGTGTAATATAGTGCGGGATTTTGAACATAGAAAATTGGCAGCTAATTCAATTACTTTTTTTAACAAGGCTATAATGTGGAAAGATAATTAAGAATTATATTATAAAGGCGTACAATTAAGATAGATTTCTCATGACCAAATCACTCAGAACGTACCCAATTTTGTCAGATCTTGGAAGCTAAGCAGGTGAATGGGCCTGGATAGCGATAGGGATGGGTCATCAGCATGTTCACCAGGTTGTTACTGGCTGCGGGGCTATATGCTGGGCAGTAGAGGACAGTAGAGTACAATTTATTGTGGTATCGAGCCTGATTTTTATGCCCCCATGCTTCTTGTCTTCACCAGCGTGACTTATGGTCAGAATTGCATAAAAATAATAACGCGATCTAAACCCAAAAACGTTGATTATGAATAACATTGGTCGCGAAAGTCTACGTGTTAAACAAAAAAAAATCCATGACTTTTCTTATCGATTGGAATGTACAATACACAAGTTACAATCTAATATTGTCTATACATGTCTTCAGATTCTATATTTTGGTGTTTTTATATCCTGCTCAAATGGGCGCTGATGTTGTGCTCATCTCCCGTTTACAGCCCTGAAACAGTGGTACAAATTACACATTTCTATGGCGGGCACAAGTTTACTATACCATATTCAAGTACAATTACATTACCTATACATATCCAGTGCAGTTGAAACATGATGCATCTGATGTCATATATCTACAAAATGTTTGAAAATCTTAAATTCGTTATTTCAAATGAATTGTAAAATAATTTGGATAGACAATCTGTTTCATTGAAAGGGGGAAATACAGGCTATCACTGATCAATTATTGTAAATATACATAAATAGTAGAAAACATCCATTTTGTTTCTACCAATCTTAATATTATTGTGCTCCTTTAGAGATTGTATTTATGTTTTTCACAATTTTTCACACATGTACTAACATGCATTGACAGTTATTTCATATGATGCAGACTCAGGAACAAGCTGCACATTTTAAATCAATTGCACAACGCAAGAGGTGGCGCGAGCACTGCACTGGCATCACTGCAATCCTGAGTTTGATTCATCATAATACCAGGTTCTCAAGTATGCCTTAGTGGATGGTCTCTGGTCAGCAATGACTGCACAAAAATCCAGTCACGTAAAAAAAATGTTGTTACGTAATTTAAATAAATGGCAGTTCTGGTTATTAAAAATATCAGATCGACTGCCACACGGAGGACTTGTCTAGGAATATTTCCCCCCCCCCCCCTAATGTGGATGAAAAAAGGTTATTTGAAGTAATCTCGGAGGTAGTTTTGTCCTATGTACTTCCTTAGGCTGTTCTTTAACATATGCACTGCTCTCTTGAGAGTTTCTTATGGATTTTTCATCTCATGCCATGACACCGATAGCACAATTAGAAAACAAATTTTAAAAAGAAGTCAAGTGAACAAAATGCATACTGCAGAAATCATGTTTCACTCTTGTTTTTATCCACATGTGATTGTTTTGCAATCACTGCAATTCGAAACTCGTTCATGAAATAATTATGCATAGAACCCCCAGAAGAACACAGCAACTGTCATGATTATGATTGCATTGACATTGTTAAAGTTTCTCCATAGAGGTTTTTCAGAGATATCTGTGAGCAGTTTTTCTTGGGCCTCCATTTGCTCCTTGGTGAACTCTTCCTGGGGGCCAGAGCTTAAGCCACAGAACCACATGCCCGCCTTTCTCAGGCAGCCAACACAACCTCCTGAAAAGATACATTCTGGTTTTAATAACACAACGAGACCACACTCGGTTATCACATTTATCATAGATTTTAGTGGTGCTTTGGATTTGCAAACCATCTGCATATTTACGACCTCAAATCATCACAGATGACCCCGATATTGTCTGTTTTCTTGTCAGATCTCGGAAGCTAAACGTGGTTGAGTCTGGTGAGTATTTGGATGAGATGCCTGCGAATATCACTTATTGACTTGTGTTGGGTTATGTGAAGCTATGTATTACCCTTTTGCGTGGGAATGCCTCGGGGTGCTCCGGTTTTCTACCCCATGAAATGGAACAAATATGCCAATGCAAGACCTTCCTGAAAAAAAGGCTGGCAACTCAGGCTTTGTATGAGTAAAGGACAGTGTCAGCATTCCCTCCTGGATGAACCGGCTCTGGTTTTACCTGGTGGTGTTTTGTTTTCTTCAATTTCCTTTGCTTTCTTCGCCTCCAGTTTCTCCTTCATCTTCTGTGCATTTATTTCCTTTTCTTCTGCATCCAAATCTTCACGCTTCTCCTTGCTGTGGCGGAGACTCCACACCAACCTATGAAGCTGTAGGGTGGCACATGAGGATAGGGATTTGCGTTTGACCAACAATGCCCCCGCAACTCAAAGTGCCTTAAATCACACCTCAGATCAACTCTTCCTGCTATTGTATAGCCAAGAGGACTACTGGTGGCAGCTGTTCATTTAAACAACATTTTTTAATGCCTTTTGTTTTTTTCCACATTGCACTATCAGCATCATGCAATGATATGAAATATCCATTTGGATCTCTTGTAGGGCGATGCAACGCTTCCTCGTAAAGAACAGCCAATGGAAGCGGATATTACAGAGCTGCTACCGAGATCCTTGTAAGCGATCTGTGGTCCACACAGTCAGGGCCGGATTAAGGCCTCCAGAGATTAAGTGAAAAGTTATTTCATTTGTGAATGCTGAATTTTATTTGTTGTTAGCCTTGTGAAATTTTATTTTATTTTTCTTTAACTTTGTTTTCCTTTTGAAAATATTACTGGGGGCCTCGCAGTACGTGTAGCCCAGGGGCCTACAAAATCTTAATCCGGCCCTGCACACTGCAGACAAACAGTAATGTTTATCGCATAACAGTAAAACCGACATTTTAATGCTCAGAGCTGCGATTTTGCCAAAATTAAGTTCAGAACCAAATTGTACGTGATAGCGTTTTGTGCAGTCATTGGTCATAGAACTGAGACCATCAACTCGAGACACTTGAGATTCTGACTTAATTACGGGCAGTTGCGTGGATTCAATCTCAGGATCTTATCGGTGGTAGTTTAGAGGTCTGACCTCTGGATCACCTGGCCACCTCAGAAATCCTGCGTTCTAACGGGGGGCGGGGGGGGGGGGGTGATTCTTTCCAGAGGTCAACCACTCTTGACTTGCCCACGAAGTCAATACTGATCCCAGAGGTCTGAAGAGCTAAACCAAACTCCGACTAGGATTTTAACTCACGACCTTCCAATATGTCAGAATATAACCCACAACCAATGCATTTTGCTGCATGTTACCCAGATTTCAATTGCTCAAAAGACCTGGTATTTGCATTCATATTTAACTTGCTTCTTATAAGTGGACTTAAGGTAAAAAAAGGCGCAGTCCTGCAATTTTTTGCTCACACTACTGCTGACTGAAGGGCCTGCAATAGCAGCAGCTCTAGAAAGCTCTTCGAGTGTGTCTTTGGCCTACTCTTCCATGCTGACCAGATGTCTTGAACCCCACCACATTTGACTTGCCTATCGGTTAACTTCAGGACACCCATTTATACTTCTGCGTCGACATAAACGAGGCGATTTGATAAACTTGCTCCATTGTTTCAACTGCCACGAGGGGAGATCGAAACCAGCAAACCGTTAGACAACATCGGCACCCCAAGTATCTGTATCGTGTCGTGTGCATATATGTTTGCAGTGGTACTTACGTGTTTATCGTCAATGGGTTTTGTGAAAAGTGAGATGACCACAACGAGAACGCAGGTGATGGTAAAGAGGATAATTGCAAAGTAGAGGTAATGCACGCCACAGATGATAGTGGGGCAGTTGGTTTTATTTTTGCAAGATCCTGTGCCATAAGCAAACTCAGTAATCAAGCGGGACATGCCAATTAGAAAGCCCAGAATGAGGCCCCAGAAGGCTCCCTGCAAAGGCATAAACACAGACACAACATTGAAGAGAAACTCGTGAAAATTATTGTATGCACCACAGCGTAAAACATTCAGCATATATAATGCACAATCTTCGATGCAGCAACATTTTTTTGTGATCGACTTGGGTTCCGTGCAACTTTAGTTGCTGTTTTTGTAAATTAAAAACAATGTTAGGAATGATTTAAAGCTGAGCTTTTTTATTGTTTCAGTGATTGATTACCCAACCGTTCATGAGTCCGATTTCTCGAACCTCGGGTAAAATAAAAATAGTTCCGGGGGAAAAAAAGTGTCACTTTTGTTTCCAAACGTGCCGCTGGTTGGGAGGTGATGGGCTTTGCTTGGTGAGATCACCAGCATCGTCAGGAGTGTTACACTTGGTCTGGCTTGTGGTGCAATGGCCATGAATACATGGGCCTAAGTGATCAACCACAGAAAATGGTTGATTTTCAATGCACTTAATCGACACATTGTGCCAGCTCTAGAATTATGTATATACAATAATTAGCAATGAGTAAATGAAATAATTAACTTTCAACAATGCTCTCTTGCACATGTGCCAGGCGGATTGTTACGTTGCAGGATTGTGAGAGGTGGTAACAGCTTGGCGAGGCCTTCATCCAGCAGTGGATTGATCATGGCAGACTACGACGATGATAACGAATACAATACCTATGGCACCAGAGGACCCTTACCTCCTCATTGACACGCTTGACAAAGATGGCAAGCAGGAAGACGGCTGCGATGGGGGGCCCCAGGTAGCTGGTGATGGACTGAATGTAGTCAAAGAGTTGTCCACTCTGAGCACCCTCAATGATGGGAATCCAGGCGATGCTGATCCCAATGAGCACCAGAATGAACACCCTGCGAGTGCGCACACACACACACACACATCCAGCCGTGCCAATGAAATTCGCGGACTTCGATAACTCGCCTATAGCCCACGACTTAACCTCTGGCGCATTCACATATACACGTGTGAAGTTTCAAGCAACCATTCCTGGGTGCGGACTATGGTTTTCCTGATAAACACTCCACACCCACCCACATACACGACTGTACATGTATACTAAGTATACTGTATATTATGTACGTATCCACTGGATAAACAGACCAAATCACCTGAAATACACTTTTCTTTGTTCTCGGAAAACCGCATTGCGCCATGTGTAAACAGGTGTTATAGGCTGCTGCTGGGCTACATTGATGTGCGGGTACTATCCTTCCACACTACCATGCCTATGGTGCCCATCTTTACCAACCCACGCTGACCAGTGCGGTGAAGTATGACCGAATAACACCCACGACCCGCACGGCACTTTGGTGAGTGTGCAATGTGCAAGCAACACAGGGCGAACTCGTGAATATGCAATTGATGATGTCCGCATCAGTGCATGGCGAAAGCTTGCCAGAAGATTTGCTCAACACGCGGTCTAACCTAAATGAGCGCACTTGGATAGCGAGTGGCTGCATAAACCTATGTGCTTGCTTACATACATACATACGATTATTGTAGTTTTTTTATATTCTTGGTTCTTTCGGTAAAGTCACGTAGAAGGGAAATAATAAGGTATGAGTTTTATTGTTTAATTTTTATTATTTTATTATTTCCCTTCTACGTGACTTTACCGAAAGAACCAAGAATATGAATCCCTGCAGTCACGAAAGCTTTAAATCGAAATATTATAGTTGTGTTGCCTAATACGACGTACTGGAATGTAAGACCCACACAAAATTTGCCTATCCATTAAATTACGTGAATCTGGTCAACAACAGAACAACAGCCACCATCCACTACTAAGTGGCGGTGATGTCACCATGGAGCTTGTGCCAGGCTAGGTGCACTGTGAGGCCACGTGAAGTGTGGACATACCTGTCAACCCATACAGTTTACCCATATTCGTGTACAGGCAAATTGAGTTTTCAGGTCCATACGGCATACAGCCGTTTAAATACGGGCAAAAAAATTTATATTTATTTGTGTTTCTCTCTTGTGATGGGACTTTGTAGGATGAACGTTGAGATTTATAAGGGCACGGGGTGGCCAATAAGGTCTGAATTGGTCTGTAATAAGGTAGGGCACTGTTTAAGGGGTTAACAAGTATGAGTGTTGAAGGCTCACTGACAGGAGGTCACGGAACAGACCCAGGTGCCATGGGTTGACTTGTCTGAGATGACTGGCAGAGGCACCAGCCGTGCCCCCTACTGTGCCACACTCATGCAGACTAACTGGATCATACAGGTAGTCCCCGAGTTACGATGGTCCGACTTACGATATTTCGATCTTACGATGGCGATAGCGATGCGACAAAATTGCCATCAACAACCTAACATCGTTCAAGTATGCAGACGACGGACAGAATCTTGGTGACTACAGTACAATGTGATACGTTACGATACGTTCAATGCATGTATGATACGTAGCTTTAGCGATTTCATTTTAGGGTTACCACGATACGATATGTTCAATGCATGTTAAACGTTTTTATAGTAAAACACTTTCTATTAAATTGCAGTTCATATAGGTAGGCTAAGAATTTACCTTGTTTTTTTTACTTTACATTTACTGTGCAATACAGTATTGTAATTAATAAATACATACATATAGTTTATACAGTACAGTACTGTAAATTGCTCTGTTTTGCTAAATTATCACCATTCTTTAAGACTCCTGGGTAAGCTAGGCCATCTTCGACTTACGATATTTTTGACTTACGATGGGGTCGTCTCCATCGTAAGTAGAGGACTAGCTGTATATATAAAGAAAACAACCCCAACTCTTGCTTTAAATTACAGGTCAACAAACGTGTCTTAGAATCCGCAGAATACAGTGACGACTGCCTTGGAGATGCACACTTAGCCACACGTACCTGCCAGCAAGCATGAGTTCACGCTCGGTGGCACTTGTGCGGATTTTGTTGTAGATGTCCAGGGTGAAAAGTGTGCTGGCGCTGTTGAAGATGGAGGTGAGGGAGCTCATGAGGGAGGCCAACATTACGGACAGCATCAAGCCTCGTAAGCCTGCACGATCACACAACAAACAACACGGTCGTAGACAATGGCAACAAACACGCTCTTGCGCATATTGTAGCAATTGAGCTGTGGTGATTGAATTGGTTTATAGGGACACCACTTTTTTGTGACCAAACTGCCCAGAATTACAAACTAACTTCCCTCTCCTGGACCAGCGTGGTGAAGTATGGTAAAATAATCCTCACCACCCACACAGTATGTGGGGAGGCCCTTATCCAGATTGGATTAACAGGCAGGTGATTTGAAATATAATAAAAATCGCTTGTGATATCCCCCAGGGGTGTGTATGTGTGATGCCTTACCGTTTGGCATGAGGTTGATGACAAGGAGTGGGTAGGCAATGTTGGTACAGCCCACGTCCGTGTCGCAGTACTCCTTACATTTCTCAGGCTCCACACATGCCACAACATCTAAGAGATCACCGAAGAGCAACACAATACACGTGCTCAAATACTTCAAAACGCGTCTAATTAATACGCTTAATTAAGAGCAGTTATAGTAATGTTAACAAAGCTGATCAAGTACCGTATACGTCTAGCAAAGGGTACACAATCTAGGTGCAGTAATTCTACACCACTAATTTATTTTATTTTTGAAACCCCCAATACGCACTATGTTCATTGAAGCAGTAACTGTATATGTCAAATTTGTTGAACATCATGTGATCAGACACGAAGTTGCAGTGACAGAAACACGTTGACAGCATGATAATCCAATAACGAATAGCATCATTAATCATATTACAATACCGTATTCCCAAATTATTTATCGCCAGTTTATATAACCCAAGACATGAATTGCGTACGTAGTACAATGGGTAGCACCCTGGGTGTGCAATCCAGAGGTCGCTGGTTGAATTCCCAGGCATTGGAGTTTAAATAATGGTGGATGTTTCTTAGACCTCCCTCTATCCACCCAGCAGTATAAATGGGTAAACCACAGTCAATCGGCAGGTCACGTGTCGTGAGGTAAAGTGTGGGTACTGCCACCTCATCCAATACATCCGGCCAACATGGGAAAGTAAGCCAAAATAGTGGAGGCCCTCCTGCCAAGAGTGGTGTGAGCAAGTAATTGCAGGCCTGTAACTTTACCTTAGATACAACATTGTATTTTAATCATGTTTTGAATAATTGTATGGCACTGTATAATGATTGGTATGGCTTTTTTTGTTTGTTTCACCTGTGTACAAAATGCGGCTGATCATGCCCGGCATCACCATGAGGTACATGGGCATCAGCTTGAGGTAACCACACATGATGCAGCCACCCTTAACGTGGGACATGTCCTTGGCAGAGAGGCAGCGCTGTACAATCACCTGGAGATATGAAGTAAAACAAAACAAAACTGTTGCTACTGCGTTGGCTGTGGTGCAACAAAGACAAATGATAAAAACTCAAAACACATTCGTTAATAACGCCTGCCATAAATAGGGAAAATAAAATAAAATAGGCGACGTCTTGGGAAAAGGACTTTCTTCATAGCAGAGCGATGATCTTAATAGCAGAGAGAGAAGGTCCCTCTCTGCTATTATTCTTTGGGCCTTTCGGTAAAGTCACGTAGATAGGTTCAAAGAAAATAACAAAAATAACAAAAATCTACGACGTTTCGATCGCAACGCAAGCGGTCGTCATTAGGAGGAAAAAAGATAAGAAAGTTGCTGAAGCAGACTGTTTAAAAGGTTTGAAATGGGTGTAGCCCAAGGGTCATAAAATAAGTTGGCGGGGCTATTGATGTTATGTCAATAATGAGCATGGACGACGACCTCCACAACGAGCACGCGGAGGTGGCTATGTTAATGTGAGATCTACCATTAACACGCTAATTTGTCACATTAACATCACTAGCTCCGCCCACTTCGTTTTTGACCCTTGAGCTACACCCATTTCAAACCTTTAAAACAGTCTGCCTCAGCAGCTTTCCTCTCTTTTTTCCTCCTGATGACGACCGCTTGCGTTGCGATCGAAACGTCGTAGTTTTTTTGTTATTTTTGTTATTTTCTTTGAACCTATCTACGTGACTTTACCGAAAGACCCAAAGAATATGAATTCCTGCAGTCACGAAAGCTTTTAGTCAAGATTATCTCTCTGCTGTCAGCTAAAAACTAGACACCACACAACCCTAACCACTTGGGAATTTATTTACGTAATAATTTTCAAAACCAGTGAGGGTTTTTAGGAACATCAAGTCTTGCAAAGGGAGAAGTGTTTTTATAAATGATATGTATAATCCTGAAAGTGGTTGGGATTTGGCCTCAGCAGATGCATCGCAGTGGTTTGAATGCTTTTGTGAAATTACCTGTGACATCAGGATTAATCACATTGCCATTTGCTCATGAGATAGCAGCATACAAATATGACCTCGTCATAAGCAATTAAACAGACCTGATTGTGATCATTCAAATATGTGATGAAGCCAAATACATTTATTTTCGCTCTACTACTGTGGTACTGGAGTACAATCTTCACCAGCAACTGACCAGTGTGATGAAGTATGGATCAAACAATCCCCACGACCTGCACTGCATGGGGAGGCCCTCGTTCAGCAGTGGTTTGACTCAAGTGCTGTACTTGTAGTCAACAAAATTACCAATCTATCCCAGTACACAAACGACGTAACGCTGCAGGAACACATTGATTTGAAGGTAAAGATTTGTTGGAGGGCAATTATATCACCGAAGTCCGTTTCCCGTGTCCCGCTTTGCCCCGTCTCTCTGCAAAACCCCACTGCCCGTGATATGGAGGAAACGCCCGCGTGTTCTTTTTCTGCGCGTCGCTCACCTGATCGGTGCACCAGTACCAAGTCGCGATGATGGTTAGGCCAAATAGGAGGCCGGGCCATGGCAGATCGCCCGTGATGGGGTCCCTCAGTAGGTTCAGAGAATCCGGACGAGGTGTGTAGCACTCCTCGCTGATGTTCATCTCCGGCGGTGGCGGCGTCGGGATGGCCAGCATGTATTTATCGTACATTGCATCGTAGCCCCCCACAGCGTTGAACGCTGTCCGAAAAAGGGGCGCGTGAAGGGAAATGCACGAGGTTAACATCGCACCGTTTTGCAAAACAAAAGACTCCCTCCAAAAATATATAGCCCGTGCTCAATTGTTTATTGTCTTTGCCTTTGTGTAAACCAAGGCCGTAGCCATGGAGTCAACATTGGGGGGGACCAAATCTTCCAGGGTGTCTTGGGGTCCCAACCCAGAAAAATATCTAAATTTGAAAACTCTTTCCTGCCTAAAATATAAAAAAATTCACTAACACATGGGATGGACTTTTTTTTTACAATAATGTCTAGTAGTTTATTGTATTACATTGCTCTGTTTTTAATTTTTTACCATTTCTTGTTTCATTGTATGTAATGGCAGAGATTAGGGATTAATAAAGTACAACCATAACCACAATCATATAAACAGAAATCTATGCATTGATTTATATGAAGACAAGTCCAGATATTGTGGCCAAGGTTTATCAAATAGTTGTTTTTATTTACATAGCATAGCAAACATTTTTTTATAGCAATATATTGGGGGGGACATTTTGAGCATATTTGAATATTGGGGGGGGATGTGTCCCCCCCCAATATATATGATAATTACGGCCTTGGTGTAAACGTGTTGGTATGTTTAAAGTCAGTAATTCAGCAAAGTAAGATGTCCATGTGCAGTGACTGGTCAGCGTATATAAAATATTACATATTGGTAGTACGCAGTTGAGACGATTCAGGATATGTCAAAGTTTGGGATGTTTTTTTTATCGTCCTTATGCAGAAACTTTCTCTTTTAAGAAGCACATGAGTAGGTTGGCCTGGGGGCTTCAACTCATAAATGTAAGACGTGGAGGTAGCATGAGCTCTTTAGACTACTGTACAGTGTTACTCAACTCCTCACGCTTTATCGCTTATGGCTGCCGTGATGTCATGGTTAGCACACTGATCTTGCTATCCAGAGGTCACCGGTTCGATATCACAACCTGGCTATCGAAACGACAGGCACAAGTCTTACATTCCCGCGCTACTGTCTACCCAGCAGGATGAATGGGTAACACCACAGTTAGTTGATCGGCACGGTAAAGTGTGACTTCTCCCACCTCTTCCAAGATGTCTGGCCAATGTGTAAAAGTAGACCAAAATGCCCTCTAGAGGTTTCTCTCTAGAGTTCCCATCTAGTGGAGGCCCTTGTTGGCCAGCAGAGGTATGAGCAAGAAATTGCAGGGCTGCACCTTTACCTCATACTTGGCTGGTAAAGTGGTTTCCAAAACCATAGGGGTTGGGTGTCTTTTGATCTTTACATGTGTTCACATATCCCCAACTTTATGCAGGACAAGAGAGAGCCGTGCCTCAATGCTCTGGCAAGCCAGCATTAGGGTGGTGTTCATTTCTGTTTGCGAGCCAACGGTGGAACTCACAGTATTACAGTGGTGTCTTATACTGGTAGGAACGAAGTGGACCAGCCTACAATAGATTATTTCGTCCGTCCGTCCGATGTCCGATTACGTGTAGCAACATCGCCCCCTACTGAAAACACTTGGCATGACCCTACAAAAACCTTCAGACTCTGTGAGGCTTTCCTGGCTAAACACGTGTAACATTCCCTTATAATTCCCTGAGATAGCTTTTAATTAAAACTTTGAAATTAAATAAAAAAAACTCACAGCGCCCTAAAGCCTACAGTTAGGCCTAAAGCCTAGAACTAGGCTTCAAAGTCTCCCTTCGTATCGTACCCCCGCGTGTGTGAAAGGGAGTTAATGTTTAACAATGTTACATTCCCTGATGTTTTAAAATAGAAACATTTGCATTTAAAGCTTTTACATTAATAATTTAAACATTTAAATTATACATTAATAATTAAAACATTTAATTAAAAAATTAAATCACAACGCCCTAAAGCCTACAGCTAGGCCTAAAGCCTAGAACTTGGCATCAAAATCTCCCTTCGGATCGTCCGATTTGGTGTAGCAACATCGCCCCCTACTGCAAACACTTGGCAGGACCCTACAAAAACCTTTAGACTCAGTGGGGCTTTCCTGGCTAAACAAGTGTAATAATACATTATGTTTATATTATTTGGTTATTCGTTCCTACCAGCCCACCCCGCAGGGTCCTGTTTTACACATTCCAAAAAGTTGTGGTAGTCCAAACCGATTATTTTTTGCAAGTACGATTGTGATCTCAATCCAACGGGCACGATTCAAGTTTATGAGTAGAATTTTTTTTTCTCTCTCAACTATACTTTCTTGTCCGTATTGTGTCTCATTCATTTTGGCGATCAACCACCGACGTGGAATCTTTTTTTATATATATGTATAACCTGTGTCAACAAACCCCGATGGGGATTGTCGCATTTGGCATCATGTTGGTGATATTAGCAGGAGTCAGCGTCTGCGGCCCATAGGGGACGTTTGGGGTTGTCCCCTGACAGACCGAGCTCACCGAAGACCATGAGGATCATGGAGCCCACCAACATGATGACAGTCTGCACGGTGTCGGTGTAAATCACCGCGGTGAGGCCACCTGGTGGTGAAAGTTGGACATGTTAAAGACATAATTACCAATGTATTACCATTTGAAGAGGATTGTACCAACCTATCGTGAGGACTTTTCAAAGTTTCTTCCGTAAACTCCTTAATTAAGTACGTATTATTCCGAAAATTACGTTTCTATGGGCGGTGGGGGGGGGATAGAAGTGGTTTTCGCCTGCTGCACTGTGAAGCCAGATCCCCGAGTTTGGTTCCTGGCCACGGCTGGCTTTCGGTGAGAGAGATATCTAAACCTTCTTCACCAACCTGCACTGACCAGCGTGGTGAAGTATGGCCAAACACCCCCCATCCCTGTGGGGATGCCTTCATCCAGCAGTGGATATAGAACTGTACATAAATGTTGTATTGTTTAAAAATAAAAATGTTTTGGGTTAGATCGCGTAAATATATAAATGTGTCGTTAAACCCGCTACCACCCGACACAGCCAACTAGTAAGGTTTGTCACGTAGCAAACCACAACATTTACAATCTGAGTACGACGTTTCGCCAGTAATTACAACTAGCTTCATCAGGCGATAGCCAGATTTGTGGAGAAATCCTCCTGTTTCTTAGCTTCCTTCAAAATAATACAGTTTAAAAATCTTGTTTCACCGATCCAAAATGTTTTTTTCTAATTATTCGTAATCACTTCAAATGATTTTGAATAAATTTCGATTTAAAGCTTTCGTGACTGCAGGGATTCATCTTCTTGGTTCTTTCGGTAAAGTCACGTAGAAGGGAAGTAATAAAATAATAAAAATAAAACATAATAAAACAATTCTCACGACGTTTCGGCCACAACGCAAGCAGCCGTCCTCAGGTGAAAACCAGGTCCGTCGAGGCGACAGAGTCTGAATGAAACAGCACACGAGCTTGGAGCATATATATAAGCTGGGCGCATTGACAAAGGAATTATGCTAAATTCCTTTTGATATGCAAATTCCTTTGTCAATGCGCCCAGCTTATATATATGCTCCAAGCTCGTGTGCTGTTTCATTCAGACTCTGTCGCCTCGACGGACCTGGTTTTCACCTGAGGACGGCTGCTTGCGTTGTGGCCGAAACGTCGTGAGAATTGTTTTATTATGTTTTATTTTTATTATTTTATTACTTCCCTTCTACGTGACTTTACCGAAAGAACCAAGAAGATGATTTTGAATAGTTTAGGCATCAATTGCACCCATCTGTATTCAAGCAGGTGCAGGTATAAACAAACAAACTGAGAATGTTAAAATGGATTCATGAAAACCTTTCCATTGCGAGGAATTGATATCCGCATTTACATAAACCTCTACAAAAAGTTATGGCTGCAGCGCATTGTTACCTTTAATGTTGCATGGAATTAAAATAACATAGTCATATCAGTACACGGCTTATGCCCTTGCATTTTTCTCTGCGTAATTTTTTAATAATCTGGTCTTTATTTTTTTTTGGTAATTGCACGATAAGAAAAACATTATCCGCACACTAAAGGGCTCATTAAGAAACGTCACGTTCAATTTACTGTGCGATGCGTACACGACATTCGGTTCCTTTAAATTGCCAAGGTGTTAAATGACAGTGAAATTAGTGCCACATTATTCGTTCCACCCCCCACGGGAGGCGGGGGGGGGCAATGTCACAGATGCCCTGTGCTCACCAGTCACAGTGTAGAGGCCGGTTATTATAAGGAGGCAGATGACAGCCAAGTAGATATTCAAGCCGATCGCTTGACGGATAAATATTCCTCCGGAAAACATGTCAGCCTGTAACAAAACATGTCAGTGGTAGGCTTTAGCGCTCGGAGTGCACGCTCGCTGTTATCACGGTTTAACGTCGTTCCTACAACTTCACTCACTCATTCCACCATCCACCCACGTTGGTGACTCAGTGTACCAAACTGACTGTTTCGTCGCGCTATGGGTGCTTAACCCACCACACAGCAGGTCGAAACACAAACTTACTCAATTGAAGACGTGTGTTAACGCTTATCTGCAGTATTATGGCTTCAATGGTTCTGTTTGTTACTGGCCGATTGGCATTTTGAGGCTCAGCAATTTTGATTAACCAAAAATAATTGATGGTCGAAGCGGCTTTTCACACTTTTCCCACCTCCCGTCTCCCTACCAGAGGAGGATGCGATCTTACTCAGCTCCATAACTTCAGAATTGGTCGTTTGATTTATGTTTTTTGCTCTGAATAGTAAAACAAGTAAATAAATACATTTGTTGTTAATAAGCTGGCTTCTTAACCCTTTTATTTTTCTGTAAAACATTTCCATTGCTCTGTGAAACAGTCATGGAAAAGGTGACGTTCGCAATTGCATAAGTTGCAATGGCCAAGGTGCAAACCTACTGAGATAATGATTTACTTTGAACTACTAATGTCTACACTGCGCTAATTCTCAAACATGCGTAATGCATGCACTTGCAGTTTGTTTTTTTGGATATCCTTTTACATTCCGATTACAACGTAACTTTTATTTTTACGATAATAGGTCATTATGTTTCCCAAACTACTAATTATACGTGGCGCTGCCATGGTATAATGCTTAGCGGACTCGACTTGCAATCCACATCTCACAGATTCAATCGCCCGGTAAAAGTTTTCACTAAATATAATAATGAACCTGACGTGATTTTTTTTTACAAATTGTGTCTACAATCAGACACTAACAACTACAAAAAAAAAATTTCCACAATACATTTTTTTGACTACTTGATTCAACTACTTACAGTTAAAGACGTACCCATTAGAAACCGTTCAATTTAAAGATTCCATTCTTTTTTTTATGAGAAAGAACACAAACGTATAAACGTAATACTCTTTGAAGGGAAGCTCCTATATTTTACCGTCAGATTTGAACATCATAAATGTATTATATTGTTTCGTTCAAAACTGCTTTAGTCCGAATATCTCTAAAACAATCATATATAGCACAATGGTTCTGGCTTTAATTGTATTTGTTGTTTAACGCTCTATCAAATGAAAAAAAGCAATCTTATATTTTGAACGGTTTATGAATGACACGCACAAACATGTTTCTGAGTCACTTAAAATCGAGATTTGGGGTCCTTAAAATGAAAAAACTCATTTTTTATATTTTCCTGTTGTTTTTGTCCTAAAAGCTACATGTGTACCAAATTTGAGCTGTCCACCTTGTCGTCTTCGAGAGCGTCTATGGGACAAACCAGGCATCACCTTCAGGACACAGTGTAGTGTTTACAGAGCAGTCCTCGTTTGTGCTCCGCTTTATGGCTCTGAAACTTGGACCCCTTTACCATCAACTCAACAATCTCCAGCAAAGACATCTGAGAAGTCCGAAGGGGATCAACTGGCAAGATAGAGTAGCTAATACTAAAGTCCACTCCAGAGCAGGAATGACTGCAGCTTCGCTGGCCTGGACACATCGTCATAACAGGAGACAACAACTGCTCTTTGCTCAATTCCATGAAGGTTGGAGAAGTAGAGGAGGTTAGCACTTGTGCTATAAGAATGTACATCACTCAAAATTGAGAAGATGTGGAATTCCCGTGGGTTCATGAGAAAAGCTTGCTCAAAACAGACGGCAATGGCATGCAGGCTTGTTCTCACACTACTCAGTTGCTTGAGAGATGGTGTCTTGAAGACACGAAGAAACAACAAGCTAGGCGACGAGGGTCAGAAGTGGTGGTTGTCGAGTGGTGAAGCTGGATCTCAGGAGTTACCCTTAGCCCACTGTGCGTGTGATCTCTGTGGAAGGGTGGCTTGTCGTTAAAATGTTGGTCTTGCTCGTCACAAGTGAACTCACAGAAACCAAACATGAGAAACCGTATGAGATGCCAAAGAATGATCGACTCCTGATGCAAGATAGGTCATCGTCCTTGAGGATGGGCTGCAACATGATGATGACGATTTATGTTACACTCAATGAACAATGCAGTCTGCTTGATGTATGCGTGCGACGATGATGCCACCAAACACAACCCGTTCCTTGGGAAAATAATTGACGGCTTACCGATATTTTGGTGAGTACATAGAGAATGAGAGACAGGCCAGACAAGTAGTATTGTATCCTGCTTCCCCCAAAGCGCTTCTTTAAGTATTCTGGCATCGTGACGACCTGTCCGGAAATAACACAAACAAACAACAACAGGTGATGTTATCGCAAAGACGTGCTGAGCGTTGGTGCATAGTGGGTTGGTTGCCCTATTTGCGCTGCCACATTTCAGAAGCAAAACTGATTTTCAGTTTGAAAATGAATAGGTTATTTAATTTAAAAAGTTATTGCATACTCTGCAAGCGGCTACCTGAACCTGCCGATAATGGAAGAAAGTAAAAGTAAAATTTCGATTTAAAGCTTTCGTGACTGCAGGGATTCATCAAACGTCGTGAGAATTGTTTTATTATGTTTTATTTTTATTATTTTATTACTTCCCTTCTACGTGACTTTACCGAAAGAACCAAGAAGATAAAAGTTAAATGTTGCATCTGGAATTATCTGGTAATGTACATACATTTTATATATACATTGCGATGCACATGAATGTAATTGCAAGATATATTTGCCTAATTCATCCACAGTGGTTTTCCTTAACATAATGAAGTAGATCTGCAGATGATAGCATAATGAATACACTGAGCAGATACATGAGGCGTACATGCAAGTACACAAAGTTATGCTAATACTGGAAATCTCACGAATGACATAGTAATCAAAACTACTTGACACTTAAATATTCAGAAGGTGCAGGTGTTGTAAACTTTTATGGATGATTGACGTTTGTACAATCTGTGCAGGTTTGATTTCCCCCTTGCGGTATTTGCGGATGTTAATCTGCATTGTTCAGATTAAAATCACAGAGTTAATATTTCCTCTTCACTTTATCAGCTGCACATCGTCGGCTCTTACCCCTGCCGTGATGTAGATTGGCACAAACAGCCATCCCAGCAGCACCACAATAAACAGAGCCTGCAATAAAAGAAAGTTTTTTTTTATTTTCCTGAACAGGATGGCTTTTTTTTATAACACGAACCACTATATAAGAATGGCATTTTCATAAGAAGAATTTTGGACTCCCTCAACAAAAGTGGAAGTTACCACCAGAGAATGCCACTTTGTGCAGAGAATAGCTCCATAAGATTGCATCACCGAACTCTTTCTGAATTCACTTCAATAGGCCCTTAAAAGTGTTAATCATATACCAGTCAAATCAAATGAATTAAAGAATAACTTAACTCATGAATAATGTAATTTAAGTGAATATTTAACATTTCTATCATGGATTTTTTTTTGCACAGCCAATTGGTAGCATGAAAAAGCAATTGCAGGGACTGCGACTTTAATGGATTTTTTATTACAACTTTTATTCCAACTAAATAATCCAAGGACGTTAATGTTACACACAAAACTATTTTTTTCCATGAGGGCCTTTCCAATTAAGCCAATGTGTAAAAGTGGCATCTCCCGGTGACGTGTGTCATCTCGACAAAGAATTGCAGTGTTCCATCGGGGTGCCAGCCGTACATTCCATTCGAAGCCCCCTTGAGCAATCCCGGCCGCGGCTCCTGACCCAGCCAGGCCCACGAAGTGCCCGCTGCCAATATTGCTGGCAAACAGGGAGGCACCGATCTGCAAAACATGCACGTGTCAGCTCTCGGCACCGACCACTGCTCTCACAGTAGCTCTGAAGGTTGCCTTGTGTGACACTTTACAGTTAATAAATAAAGGTCTCAATGCAGCTAATGTGTCAAAAAAAAGTCAGGGCCGATGTAGTTAAGAGACAACCCTGGTTAAACACTTCCTCGAACCGCAGTGAGGCAGCTGCTATGTATGTGTTAATGTACTACTAGGCTACCCTTGCTCAATTTGCCGCTTCTGTGCTAAATGTGAATAAATCAATCCATTGAAAAGAGGGGGCCGGTGAGGGAGTAGCCAGTGCATTTTCTTGGCGGTGTAAAGTTTAAAACTCGAAGGTGAGAAGCACAAATGCTTCAAACATTAATGTTTTTGAGTTCAATGCACTGTACGTGTGGAGCCCATAGTTTAAAATCCTCTGCTGGATTAAGACCTATTCACTCTGTGCGGGTCATGGGGGTTATTTGGCCATACTTCCCCATGGTGATCAGTGTGCGTTAGGAGCATTAGATACAGAAGAGTACAAGTATAGTACAATAAAACAACTGATTTTGAAGCCCCATGGCAACCTATTCAAGCGTTGTGGTCATCCAAAGAATCACTACACAGCCTCAATCCTACTCAGCTTCTAATATTTGGATAAATTTGGGCGTATTATGGGCCGTTATATTTATTACGAGTTGAAAATGCAATTGGTATGACATGCCATTAAAGATTAAGACGAATGACACCATTAGTTTTTTTTACACGTTTTTCAAGTAAGGTTTGAAAGTATTAATGCATTAACTCTGTCCGTCTGCCTGTAATAGGGGACACGATACTTCTCTTACAGATGATTCAATATATTTTTTTGTGGAATCTGTCAGAAACATTTGAAAGTGAAGGGCACTTACAGGCCACCACACCATGCTGCGACCAGCGAGGAAAAATCCTCCCACAGTGCTCCGGTTACTTTTGTACATGGCCTGTGAACACGACACAATATTACATAAAAGCAATTGATTATCATCATCATCATCATCACCATCATCATTATGAATATCTTTATGTTTCTGATCCTATAATGTCTTAACAGAAGTCTCTGACTGGAACATTTGGGATTTCTAATAGCTGAAAGATACAGTAATAAATCAATGTTATATATGAATGACGTTGATTTGAAGCTTTCGTGACTGCAGGAATCCATACTACGTGACTTTACCGAAAGAACCAAAGAGTATGAATGACGTTACATTTACATGTGACTATTGGTGTATTTTAAAACAAAATCATTATGGGTCCATTTAATTTCCACATGTCTCAAAGACTCGCCCTGACATCTAATTTGGGTACTGGCATGCTATAATCGAAGCACAAATTACAAAGACTCTGACACAGTCGTCAATACCAATGCCATATCATTACGAAGTAACTAGCGTATATTACATCGGTATTGTTTAAGCGTCTTCCAAGTCAACGTAGGAACTATGAAATGCAAAACTCTTACTTAAAAACACAACATATTAGGCAACAGCTCACACTTTTACAACGCACTCTATTTTCAACGGCCACTCGAAAGTTGTATAAACCCTAATAAGGCACAGCAAACACATTGTAGATAGGGAGTTAGCAACACCAGTGTACCTGTACATATATGTTTAGAGCATTGCACGGTACCTGTAAGATTTAAATGCTGATGTGCATTTTAATGTCCATGTGAATCAATGGTCACAACTATGAGGTTTGTCTTATTGTCATATAAAGATGTAATCAATAGGTGTGTTCTTTCTTTGTATGTATATATTTTCCACACAGACAAATATTAAGAGAGGTTGGCTCAACATCTTAAGCAAACCTTTCGAAAAAATCTTGAAACGTCAGTGAGTGTACATGGGTAATGGTTTTAAATTATTATGTTAATATTAGTACTTGATTTACATCTATACGGTAATGAAAATGCAATTATAATTTGGAATTATATAGCGTCTAATGGCAACTTTGTCCCAAGAATTAAAGGGTTATAAGTTGCAATAAAAATGATGAAATTAACTTTTGTGATAAGTATTCTTCTGTCTGCTATTCATTCTCAACCCGTCAATTATCATGGCACTTGCAAACACATAATTAAAAGCATATATTTTAAAACAAATCAGTATACATGTTCAATGCATACTGACTCTAAGCAGTGTTGTTCATGTCTATGTTGTATGTACATAATTTAATGATTCTAATTGACATTATATTGTCAATCCACTTCTGTATGAAGGTCTCCCCACACCCTATCATCGGGAACGTTTGACCATACTTCACCACACTGGTCAGTGCGGCTAGGTGAATGGTAGGGGAGGCTCTCCACTCATCACTCATGTTAGAAAAATTCTGAAGATATTCAGTGAACTTTGGAGTTCAAATGCAGTCGAAAGGCATTGCTGCCCGTTTTTTTCGCCTTCTAAAGTGTAACATTTAAACTATTGCCTTTCTTTTGCTATCTATCGGGGATTGTTCTGTCAAAGTTTATTATGAGTTTCATAAACTAATATAGAAACTTTATAACAAAATGAAATGTGTCAAATGCCCCAAGATGTATTATTTTAAGTATTTTTGTTGCGTTATGCTTTTTCTATGTTTACACATTGTAGTCAGTTTAGAGTACTGCCATTTGAACGTTTGAGTTACAATGTAAACTATCCTCGTTGTCAATGGTCTGCTGTGTTATACTTAAACAGAAAACGAACAAATTTTTCAACGACCTAAAATTTCTTCTGGGCAAATCAAAGGTTCCATTTGTTTTCATGGCCGACAGAGCCGGGTGTAAGGGGAAGGCGTGGCGGAGGTGGCAGGGCAGTGCTGAAGGTTGTGGAAGATTTCTTTTTTGCACCTCCTGTCAAGTCGTCTCGTCGGCCGGCGTCTTCGAGTTTTGAAGAAGCAGGGCAGTGACAGAATCCGGTGGTACATGACTGAGACAGCAGAGCTCCAAGGTGGTTGGAGGAGTGCCCATGCATTGGCGCTGAAATTAGCAAAATCTCGTGACCCCACCGTTCCACTCCATCCTTTGAGGTGTTCAGAGTTTAACGACTCTTTCAGCGGGTTGCCTCTCCTGTTGTACTGCCTATGGGGCCTCCTCTGACCAGCTTGGAGTATGTGTATGGCTTACGGTGGTCACACGGCGGATGTATTTCGTGGCTGCTGTTATGAGGATTTGGGTTTATTGCTCAAAGGTTTTTGGTCTAGGCTCAAAACGCTCTATCCGTTCTTCAACTTCGGCATGTGTAAGCAGCCACAGTTTGCTTTGCAGAAATTCCAGCTTGGCTTCGGTGCAGATACTATAAGTGGCACTTCGATGCCTATTTGCACAACGGCTGGGCAATATTGACTTTGGGGGAAAGGTCCAAGCGTGATTCGTGAAGCTGATAGGATGCTTCTTCTGTTATCTTTTGAGAGGAAGCAGAGGTGCAGATTGTGGTCTGTGTTCCACATTGTGGAGGAGAAAGTATCGGATTTTTTGGGGTCGAAGAGCAGATGGACATCGTCAATCGAGGCCCAGTCTGCCAGTTGCTTGCCTGCTGCATTATTTGTGTGCTATCCCCAATCTGCATTGTCACCGTTATACTGCCGGATGAGGGAGGGATGGGAGCGTGGGATTAACCATTCGGTGTTCGGTGGCTTATGGACATAAGTCAGGGATATTCGGCCTACTCTTACTACGGTGTGAAAGGTTCCTGTGGCCTTCTTTATCTCAATGACCGGCATCTGATGTATGTGGCAATACAGCCCTTCGCTGCGTCGACAAGAGGCGGTGAGGTTGTAGCCATGGATCCGGTACCTTGCGGCATTTTCTTTGATTCCGGCACGAGCCTCTTGCAGAGCGATGACATCTATTTTGTTGTCGTTGAGTATCTTCGAGAGTTATTCACACGTAGATGTTGACAATGTCTCTGCATTCAGCTGGTGGATGCGGAGGACCGACCAAAAACGTATTTGACCTTGGCCCTGTCGAGGCCAATTTTTGTACGTTGCTAGTTATAGCAGGTGATCGATGTTGTGACGTCTGGTGACCTATTGACGATGTTCGTTGTGTTGATGAGCAGCACATAACGTGTAGGCACAGAAACACTTGACAGGAGCAAGTGGCATGAAGGCTGTAGCTTTGTGCCGAAATCAAGGTGATATCAGATTTCCAATGCAATAAAGTTACACTTCACACACCTGGGTACAGATTTTGTTTAGTAAATAAACTGAAGTTTTTAAAATGTTCAACCATAGCAGAAGGAGAAATATTCACCCGTTAAAAAGTGTTTATCGGCACTGACATAAAACCCAGTCAATACCCTAAGCAGCCCATTCAGATTTGTGGAATGTACGCTAAATTGGCATTAAATGACTGCACCTAATTTGGACTGTTCATTTCTCGTGTTGTAAGGAATGCAATGGTATCAATGCTAATGGTACATGATTTAATATCTTGAAATATGTGTATAGATAAATTCCAGACATTTTAAATCCACCAATGGATAAACACCTCCCCATGCCATATCGCTCATGGGTTTTTACTTCACTATGCAGGTTGGTGATGGGAACAGAGAGCAGAACCGGTTCTGATATCACTCGCCACTGATGTTAGCAGCGACTTAGGCTAGACCTCGGCCTGCCAGGTTTATATAATAATTTGTTTTTTATCCAGCGTAATTCATGCAATTGCATCCCACAACGCTGCATACCAATGATCTAATTTCGTACACAGATAATACAAAAACAAAAGCCACTACTTAGCAAATAAAAAAGACATGAATACATAAATAAAGAAAATAATCACGGAGAAAATAAATTAAAATAAATAAATCCGTTCGGTCTCCATACGCTAGACCACAATCCCAACATTTCGCCGGATTTTGGAGAACCTTCACTGGAGGGGTGGTGGAGTGGCCAAAACGTTACGAGTCAGTTGGGCAATAATGTAAATGCCTATTTTCCAGTATATGCCAGGACAAATAAATAGGCCAGCATGCCAACAATTGTACCATCACTCCACCCTCAATTGATTTATAAGTTTTCAATGACATTCCCCCGTGAAAACAAACTGTAAACACATTTAGTATCTGTGATAAAACGCTAGGGAGAAAAAGGCCTCGAGTCAACACCCCAAAGTGAGCTTATGTTCAAGAAGCCCAACTTGAGAACCTTCGAGTGCTATTCCCACAAGCATGACAATAAAACGCAAGCTTCAGCAGTATGACGCAGAGATCTCCATGGATTCAAGATGTTTCAGAAATCTCTATTTTTATTAATACACAATCATTTGCCGTCTTGCACTAGATAAGTTTATTTTATAATATTTTTGTGCCAACTTTATAATGTTTGCATTGCCCAAGCAGGTTGAATTTTTTTCTTCCATTGACTGCTATGCAACACAACAAGTATTCATTCTGTTAACGCAACGAGTGACGACAATTCCCGCCAACAAAGTAGTTATTTTAACCCAACTATGACCGTGGAAATGTTATCAATCATGACAACTACCCACGGAATGCCGATGAAAGAATGAAGACAGACTGAGATAATTATTTAGTCACGTCATTGGAGACTGCAGTGCACTGACGAACAACAAAAATGGTTATGGGCTATTCTGTACCGTGCAATTTACTTAGTTTCCCGATTGGCTTATCTGATAATATTGGGGGGTTGGGGGTAATTACACACCCTTCTATTTTAGATCGACATTTACTAAGAATGACCTTAATTTTTAACTGCTTTAGTAGACTGGACTAGAAATTTTTTTGACAATTAAATTATCGCCGTCTAGATTCTCACTGAAAACACTGAATACAACTGATCGCAGCGCGAAAGAAGTTCAACACACACACGCATACATGACATTTAATCTTTGATGCAAGTCACACATGGCAGAGCCCCCCGCCCCCCTCTTACCCACAGGCCGACACCAAGAACAAACACAAAGTAGCAGACGATCACGGCGATGTCGGCCGCATTGTTGATGCTGTTGGTGCTTTTAAACGGAGGGGTCGTCGGCATCCCCGTGAGCGTGGTCGTGGTCGATTCCATGGTGGCACGCGTACGGATTTCACGACGACGCCACACGTTCAAGACGAAAATCGTTCCCGATTCAGGTGCGGGGGTGCTTGGAAGAAAGTGAATGGAGAATGCATTGTGGTGCGGGACAGGCAAGGAAGGGGTTTATATCTCGCAGTGTTAATCATCGACAGGGAGGAGCTTAAAGGTGAATGCAGACTCCACCTATGCTCGTGGCAAAGAATGTACAAAAATCCCACGGCGAATTGTAAACTCAACTAAAACTAAACTACATTTTATTGTACCAGGCAAGTCATGTCCACGTACTCCCGTCCGCAAGCATCACGTGGAAATTCATAGCAGCCAAATACTCTGAACGCTTGTTTCTAAATGTGGAGGGAAAAAACGGAGGATCTGGATAAAAATCCACATGACCATGGGGAGAACGTGAAAACTCCAAATAGATTCATTTATCCAAAGTAATGTACACATACTCTTGTCCGTAAGCATACTTTTGTACCAATGGTTGCTGGTAAGGCTTAATTTATCATCCAATATTTTCCGTAATTGTGGGAGTACAAGGTACACATATCCATTCTAATTCTACGTTATTGTACCCATCAACAGGTTAATGGGGAAATAAGCTGACATGGATGTGGTGTGCAAAAACTATTCCATGAACAGTGTTGCAAACTGTGCCGGTTGAAATTAAACACAGGTTATAGTTATCGTGTGAATGTCGGAGGAGGCATCAGGCAAGATAAGTACATTTATAGACACGCAACTCTTATATCAGAATGTTTATGATAACCTAGGTTATCACGAATGCGCATTATTCATACATTGTGAGCTCAATTGAACATTTACGTCTTGCATGTTCTACTGAATTGGTTAAATGTCTGTGAAGAGTCTCGAACATCGCGCAGTGGCAGTTAACTCCAGGCCAATGGACCTCTAAGTAGGTGAGTGGGGGGGGGGGTAAGTAGGTAAGTAGGTGAGTGGGTGGGTGAGTGGATGGGTGAGTGGGTAGGTGAGCTCCAAGCCGATGGACCTTTGAGTAGGTGAGTGGGTGAGTAAGTAGGTGAGTGGGTGAGTGAGTGGATGGGTGAGTGAGTGGGTAGGTGAGCTCCAGGCTGGTGTACCTCTAAGTAGGTGAGTGGGTGAGTAAGTAGATGAGTGGGTGAGTGAGTGGATGGGTGAGTGAGTGGGTAGGTGAGTTCCAAGCCGATGGACCTCTGAGTAGGTGAGTGGGTGAGTAAGTAGGTGAGTGGGTGGGTAGGTGAGTTCCAAGCCGATGGACCTCTGAGTAGGTGAGTGAGTGAGTAATTATATGAGTGGGTGGGTGAGTGGATGAGTGAGTGGGTAGGTGAGTTCCAGGCCGGTGTATCTCTAAGTAGGTGAGTGGGTGAGTAAGTAGGTCAGTGGGTGGGTGAGTGGATGAGTGAGTGAGTGGGTAGGTGAGTTCCAAGCCGATGGACCTCTGAGTAGGTGAGTGGGTGAGTAAGTAGGTGAGTGGGTGAGTGGGTGAGTAAGTAGGTGAGTGGATGGGTGAGTGGATGGGTGAGTGAGTGGGTAGGTGAGCTCCAGGCCGATGGACCTCTGAGTAGGTGAGTGGGTGAGTAAGTAGGTGAGTGGGTGAGTAAGTAGGTGAGTAGGTAAGTAGGTGAGTGGGTGAGTGAGTGGATGGATGAGTGAGTGGGTAGGTGAGCTCCAGGCTGATGGACCTCTGAGTAGGTGAGTGGGTGAGTAAGTAGGTGAGTGGGTGAGTGAGTGGATGGGTGAGTGAGTGGGTAGGTGAGTTCCAAGCCAATGGACCTCTGAGTAGGTGGGTGGGTGAGTAAGTAGGTGAGTGGGTGAGTGAGTGGATGGGTGAGTGAGTGGGTAGGTGAGTTCCAGGCTGATGGACCTCTGAGTAGGTGAGTGGGTGAGTAAGTTGGTGAGTAAGTTGGTGAGTGGGTGAGTGAGTGGATGGGTGGATGGGTGAGTGAATGGGTAGGTGAGTTCCAGGCTGGTGTACCTCTAAGTAGGTGAGTGGGTGAGTAAGTAGGTGAGTGGGTGAGTAAGTAGGTGAGTGGGTGGTTGAGTGGATGAGTGGATGGGTGAGTGAATGGGTAGGTGAGTTCCAGGCTGGTGTACCTCTAAGTAGGTGAGTGGGTGAGTAAGTAGGTGACTGGGTGGGTGAGTGGATGGGTGAGTGAGTGGGTAGGTGAGTTCCAAGCCGATGGACCGCTGACCGCGAAGCTGCGAGGTCCAACTCTCGCTGCCTGAGTGTGCGGACTGATCCGGTGGTCGCCATGAGCTGCCGAACGACGGTGGCGATGATTGATAACGAAGTGTACCGGCACACACATGCCCATCAGATAGAGTGGAGCAGATTTGTGGAGATGCTCGTATATGAATGAGCACAGCTTGAGTGAAAGGAAAATATACCAAATGGATCATTAATGTGGACGTGAACAAAGAAATTGGAACAAAAGAAATGAAGTGCACAAAAAAGCGTGCTTCGAATTACTGAATGAGGAAAATGTATGAGAGAGCAAATGCCAATTAGAGCCATTGACTTACAAAAAAAACAAGTGTGTTTGTTTGGGCAGGATATGCTGCTCAATGGGACGATGGCCTGGGGTCAAGATTAACGACAGAGTGGCAGCCACAGGCCGGGACACATCCGAGAGGACGACGACCATGGAGGTGGAGTGATGAGATCGGCTGATGCGCCGGAGCGAGATGGATTGTGGTATCGCAAGACTGAGAGATACAGGGAGACCTTCGTTCAGTAGCGTGTAAAAGGTTCTGTTGTGGTGATCAGTTGGATGTATATTGGGGTCCACCTAGTTGCGAGCATTATTTGGATTTGAGTAATAGCAGCGTGAGATAAGACGCGGACCACGATTGGCTACAGGCAAATGGGTGGTGGTACGTTGGGTCCCCGGATACTTGTGAGCAATGCATTCGAAGGAGCCTGGGGGAGTTGATGTGCTGTGTCCAGGCCGAGTCATGACCTGGGATGATCACGTTGCAGGCCGCCCTCCTGGTGTGCCCAGCGTGTTATTGTGCTGGCGTGTCGGTGAGTCGGCGTGAATAAACGTGCACCATTGTGTTTCTTCAACGTCGCCTGGAGGCTGCACGTGTGCGCTGTAGCTTGAGGAGGTGACAGACACGTGGGGAGTTCTGTTACCCTCGAGTAAAGAAAAGTAGGCTGTGATTGGAGTCCTCGAGCGACAGATGCGGAGCAGAAACAAGAAGGCAACACATGAGTCCTACTGAACTCTTGACGATTTGATTTGATGATGACTAACTCCTGTGTTTCCTCGGTGAGGGTCACGGCCAGAAGAACGAGACACAGTGAGCACGGGTTACAAGTGGAGAGATCGTGGTGGTGGTTGTTGATGGTAATATTTGGGTGAACATGCCATGGCATTAAATAAATGTACAACATATCTCCAACTTCTTGGTTCTTTCGGTAAAGTCACGTAGAAGGGAAATAATAAAATAATAAAAATAAAACATAATAAAATAATTCTCACGACGTTTCGGCCACAACGCAAGCAGCCGTCCTCAGGTGAAGAACAGGTATGTCGGGAAGACAGCGTCTGAATGAAACACCACCAGGCTTGGAGCATATCCCTGCAGTCACGAAAGCTTTAAATCGAAATATCTGCAACTATTTATTTTACACTCAAGCAGTTTCATCCAGGATCCAGGCAATGCAACCTCAGAAAAATAAAACATCAATTCACATTGTATTTGATTTCAAAGAACATGTTCTAGCCGTTCAGTTATGCCAACCCAATTTGCTCCTAATCCTATAATTTTATTAAGGTTTTCATTACAATTTTCTCATTTTGATTAATTATTCTGGACATTTTTAAAAGAGGGGTCATTACAGCATGTCAACCCGATACAAAAAATACGTATCCTGTTTTTATGTACAATTTATATATGTGTCTGTCCATGAAATGCCAAACTCCAAAGTAATGCATTCTATTATTTGAGTGGTTATGGACACAACTGTTAACTTTGAACCCTAATACGTCATCCTAAAGCAATCCACCCAATCTAGTGCATCGTCGGCTAGATAACATGGTTGCCTAACACCAGTGGTCGTTCAATGAGCTCTATCTCTTGGTCATGACCGGGTCATGGGATTGTTTTAGGTAATGTCTTACTCTCAGTGTGTGTCTGCTACATTTGTTTTCGAGTGGCCTGCCTACGCACAACTCTAAACATCAATGAAACAGAGTAACTTCATTCATATCATTTGGGTCTTTCGGTAAAGTCACGTAGATAAGTCAAGATTTAGAGTAACATCCTCTTCAAGATGAAACTGTTTTTAAAGTAATTGCTAAGATACACAACTATGTAGTGTCGTAAAGCATTTGGTGCTTTACAATACACCATATACTTCATTTCAAGGTCGCTAGCTATATGTTATTTTGTAGAATTGTTCATTTGTAGCTAAAGGACCTGCATAGGAAAGCAATTCGGCTGCAGTCACGTGCAAACAACTAATACAGTACATTAAAACTTTACAAAATACCATTTGGAAGACGTCTACAATCAAGCAGAGGTGCAATGCCCAGTACGATGGCATTGTGCCGTTTCAGTTATTTTCTCTCTACTGTTACAACTACCGTGCCCGTGGTTTACTATCGCTGTGAACATCAGGTTATTGATTCCTCCGCTCATGTTGAGGTCTCGGTCGACCAAACCGTGTCCAAAGCGTCTCACCGCAGACGACAACGCTTCTCTTTGCTCTTCTTTCCTCAACTTTGGAATTCCGTCCTACCGACTCTTTTGCCAAGTTCTTATGAATCCTGCTCAATTCAGGAAACCTGTTGACGCATAACCATCAGACTTGGCGTTTTGGACTTTTTGGGCCTGTGCTCATAAACTGTGAATAACAAAAAAAATCCCAAGCGTGACATCAATTGGGCTTCTGCACTTGCTTTAGTTGGTTTACAATTGTCCATTATATTTACAGCCATTTTTTAGTCCCTTACTAGAATAAAGGCATTTACCTACACTGTGTCAGTCATTGCTGGTCAGTGCAGGTTGGTGAAGCAAGGGACCCAGGACCTGTGCAGACATCACTCGTCACCAATGTCCTCCCTGACCGAGAATCGAACTCGATGTCAGCGGGT